TGCCATGAATTGATATCTGGACAACTCATTGAAACACACAAACGGCATGTTCAGTCCTAATACTTGTGAAAGAAAAGGGTTATAGACATAAGATAAGCAACAACTGACTGACTAGAGTACCTTATCCTTCGTAATAGCTGCACATTTGCTTCTGGTTGGGGGACATAGAAAAGGCCTTTGAAAGCTGTCCGTGGAGAAGCAAGCCTCGGTGACGTCGACGCGAGCTGTTGGAGCTCTCTGAAAACACAACTCTCATCACCCGTTCCCATTCCTCCTCAACCCCGCACCAAGCTTGGTCGCCGACATGTCGGAGCTTGATTATGCGACAGATGAGGATGTGGAGGATGGCAATGCCTTTTCCTTTTGGCCTACAGTAAGCCATCGCTCCATATTTCACTGATTCCAGCAGCTGACGGTCCGATAACCTCCAGGACGCGCTGGCAGCGTCCTTTCGCGCCCTTGTTTCGAAACAAGCACAGAAAGCCTATCTGGGAACTCTGTTATTCGTGATCACTACTATATGCATGTTCTTTGTTTCGTCGGTTGCATATGGGATATTTTACTATTGGTTCATCCCGCAAATTGGGCTTGCGCGACAAGTGCATCTACAGTTTGGGTAGGTCAACGACGGAGATTCCGCAGCCTCGATTGCTCTCATGTGATAGAAAAAGATCTTTGGCTGATTATCGAGATTTCGGTCTCTAGTGATGGCCAACCTTGGGGTACCGCCTCCCTTGGGCCAGAGCTGGTCTCTCAGCAAGCATACGATGTCGCCGTGAAACTCGAATTGCCGCGGACACCCTCCAATCTTGCTGCCGGAAACTTTATGCTAGATCTATCTCTCTTTTCCCGCCCTTCGACGTCCGCCACCACTGGCCAAAACACATCCTCGAATCGGATCGTTCACTCGCGCCGCCCGGCTATACTGACGTATACGTCGCCTATGGTGGATACCGCCAGCAAGATCTCTGTCATGCCGCTGTATGTACTGGGGTGGCAGCGTGAAGCGGAAACTCTGCGGGTGCCGATGCTTGAGAAGGTTGAGTTCGCTCGTGGCTGGCGCAACCTTCCAGCGAGTTTACGCCTTGAAATCCATAGTAAGGAGCTGATGCAGGTTTACTCGGCTCATGTGGAATTTCGAGCCAGGTTTACGGGGCTAAGGTACGTCACATTTACCGGCAAGGATTCTGGGCATCTTTTGGACTAATAGAGCAATAGATGGGTCATGTACAACTGGAGGATCCTATCGTTCTTGGTCTTCAGCTTCAGCTTCTGGAGCGTCTCCATGATCTCTTCAGGCGTTGCATGGCTTGTCCTGGCTTCGTTATGGAGCACGAAGCCAGTGAATCAGGTAAAGATCAAGCAAGAGGCTCGTGGGAAGACTCCAATCAAGGAGGAATATGATGGCGAGGCAACCGAGATTTCTGCTCTGGACTCACCTTCCGACTCACACTCACCGAAGCACCGGCTGACGAGTAGGGTCAAGAAGGAAGGAGACTTCGAAGAGGAGACGAAGCACTCTTATACCAGCGACACAGACGAAGGAGGTCATGATCCTGGTGGTGGAAGAGACGCTTGGCCTTCTGAGAGTGGTGCAGGGACTGGTTTAGAGAGCGCAGAGGCGAGGGGCGTCCAGCGACGCCGTAGCCGTTTATTTAGCGAAGGCCACTCATAGGCAGGACGTTCGATCTGCCTTTGGTGCTAGAGCTCTTAATGCTGACTTTAAGTCCTTGATACCCAAGTAATTGCGAGCGATGTATATATGTCTCATGGTGGTGCGGGTCCTGAGTCTCAAGTCGAACCATTTCGTTGCTATACTTTTTCCTATCATGAGGACGGTGTATAAGCCAGTAATAGACACAAAGTTCTTTGGTCCTCGAGCATTTACATAGTATACAATGCTATCGATGGAGAGGAATCCATCATCATTAACACAGGCCTCGGATGGGAAGACGAATGGGCTGCCCGAAAATGCGGAGTAAAATGGCCCACTCGCCATCAAGAAACTGCCCCTCCATGTGCAATCCAACTCTTCCACCAACAGACTCCTTTGGCCGCAATTAGTCGCAATGCACATTTTGGTAAGTTGAACTCTTGCGGTCCCTTCAACGCGGAGTTACCCAGCTCATGGCATGCTCCTCAACCTAGGTGGTCAACGATGACGGTCCTCCGTCGAACCAATCTTCGCCTTACGTCCATTCCCTTGTCCATACCCTTCAGTCCGCCGGCCACGTTGTATCAGTGGTCCTGCCTCATCAGCAGCGATCATGGATTGGTAAAGCGCACTTGATCGGTGCCTCTGTAAGACCAACCTACTTCCGGCCCGGAACCCTGCACGAAGACAATGGCACCATCCACGACTTCCCTCGCGGCGATGACGCCGAGGACGGAGACGAGTGGCTTCTCATCGACTCGACGCCGGCAAGCTGCGTGCAGATCGGTCTTTTTCACTACTTTCAGGAACGCGGCCCCGTCGACGTGGTCGTTTCAGGTCCGAACTACGGCCGGAATACGACTGCCTTATTCGCTTTGTCGAGCGGCACAATCGGAGGCGCTTTGGAGGCTGCGCACTGTGGGAAACGCGCCATTGCCCTTTCATATGCGTTTAGCTCGCGCAACCATGACCCTGTTGTGATCGCTGAAGCATCGCAGCACTCGGTGAAGCTGATTGAATACCTCTGCGAGAACTGGGCGGAGGGAGTGGATTTGTATAACATCAATGTGCCTCTGGAGCCGGGGATGAGCAAGTGCAAGGTGCTATATACCGATATGCTTGACAATAGGTGGACTGGCAGCTGCTTTCAGGCCGTCGATGCAGCGCTCCCGGATGAGACTCCCCAGCTGCAGGAGCAGAGGCTGCGCGACCAGGGTGAACGACTGGGGGAGAAGCCCACTGCCGCTCCGGGGACAGGGCCTCTCAGGAGGATCCGGTTCCAGCACAAGCACTTTCAGTGGAATCCTGATTTCACAGACGTGTGGAAGAGTGTTGAGGCGAGTGGACCGGGCAATGATGGTCGCGCTGTGCGTGAGGGAATGACAAGGTTTGTCCTCTCGACCCTGACTCATGTTTTACTCTGTATCGGCTTGTAGCTGACTCTTTGGGTCCAGTGTTACCCCTCTCAAGGCCACCTTTATGCGTACACCAGGCATCCAAGGCGAAATTAAGCTGTGAGTGAACCCTTATGACGAGCGGATCCGCGTCTAAACAGGTCCAGCTAGATCATGAGCGTGTCGCGTTGCTCTATATACGACCTTGATCATATTCTCCGTGTCTTTTGTCCCCTCCCTTCTAGCGTTCTTCTTGTTTGTTTTGGTCGATGGTCCATGGTCGTATTCTAGAAGACATGCATTCTAATCAGCCTAGACTCTGTAGCTCAGATAATGATGAACCTGCATTCTATTCCATCCTGGATAGCGACGATTCTTACGTCCAGAGTCTGATGGAACAAGCCTTACAGCGTCGCCTCCGCAAAGGTCATTGTCAAATCATATCGAAGCTGTCCGATCTTCCTTCCCCTTCCACCCCTCTCTTTCAATATCGCGAATACGAACGGCTGGACTTTGAGCATGCGATGATGAACTCGGCTACATCCTTGGTCAACGCCTATATCATCCGAAAAGCGCTGATCCGCAAGCACTACCTCTCCAACACAGTGACCAACTGGGTCACCAAACACCCCAACAGCGTACTACGGAATCATTTCAAATTCGCATACGACTTCGAGCTAGACTACGCCGAATTCCTCGACGAAGCCCTGCTCGAGGCATACGAGCTCCGCGAAAGCCTGGACAGCAACGAAGGCAAACCGGACTCAGAAAAGGAATGGTGGATTCTGAAAGCAGGAATGAGTGACCGCGGACAAGGCATCCGTCTCTTCAACAGCGAGGATCAACTGCGCGAGATCTTCGAAGAATGGGAGGAGGACTCAGATGACGAAAGCGGATCCGAGAACCCAGATACTGGTCGACCGGAAGACCAGGACCAGGACCAGGATAGGGACGGGGACGGACAGGGCGTCGTCACCTCCCAGCTACGCCACTTCATCGCCCAACCCTACATCGACCCTCCCCTCCTTCTACCCTCCTCATCGAACCGCAAGTTCCACATCCGCACTTACGTGCTGGCTGTCGGCTCATTGAAAGTCTACGTCTTCAAGGAGATGCTGGCTCTCTTCGCCGCGAAACCATACTGTCCTCCATGGGAGGACGAAGACGAGGTCATCGATCTCGCCAGACACCTCACAAACACCTGCTTCCAAGAAGGCGGCAGCACCAACGAAGGAAGCGTCCGACGGTTCTGGGAACTGGATCACCATGTACCCGGATTGAGCCACGACTGGAAGGAGAAGATATTCGACCAGATTTGCGCCGTCACCGGAGAGGTCTTCGAGGCGGCCGCACGAGGCATGATGGTCCATTTCCAGACCCTGCCAAACGCCTTTGAGCTCTTCGGTGTTGACTTCCTCGTCGACAATGATGGAGTTCCCTGGCTGCTGGAACTGAATGCTTATCCAGACTTTGGTCAGACTGGTGAAGAGCTCAAGGACCTCGTTGTTGGCCGCCTCTTTGAGGAGACTGTCGAGGTTGCCGTCAAGCCTTTCTTCGGTATGGGTGATTCATCAGTAAAAGGAACAAGTGACTTGAGACTGGTTGCCGACCTTGAACTGGGCAGGAAAGCCTAATGAGCTGGGCAGCTATTGCGCATATAAAGCATGGAGTTTTAGTAAGATCGTCTTCCTCTCTATTGATTGGATTATGTCTCATCATTGATCCATCCGAACACAGTCACGGGGTTTTTTAGAGGAACGAATTTTTAAAGAGGCGTCCTTGATCAAAGTGATTTGTAGTCTATATCTCTCGGTTAAAGGTTAGCCGTGTCTTTTCTTCCTGCTTCTGCCTTTTGTACACTCTGCCATTCTGTCCGCACTCGACCAGAAGCACATAAATTGTGTAACAATAGCATAGACTTAGAAATTCAATCATGGCGAGTGTCCCTGGCGTCAGAAGTGAGCAATATCAGTATTCAAGCCGATGCCTGCAGGCTCACTTTCCGTGCGCTTTCTACGACTATTGGCTTCCTTCCTCGACCCTTTCCCTCTCTTTCGTGCTTTCTTTGGGTATGCGATAATGACCCTGTCGCTTGCTTGCTGCGGTCCAGTCGCGGATTGACCATTGTCACCCTCAACTGCACGAGTCCGATGCTTCGTGGAAGCGGCAGGCCTGGGACTCTTGTTCTCATCGGTAACGGGGAGCCTTGGAACAGCACTCTTCGCCATCTGTGAGTTGAAAGTCCTCGACAAAATTCGCTCTTCACCTAAGCCTTGCTGTTGTATGTCCTTTTGGCCTGAGACATGCTGGCAGTCGACCTGCTGATTCCTGTTTCCGTCGAGTTGCTGCATGACGATGCGTTGCTGCGCAATAGGAATGAATTCGGGTGCGTCAGGCTTCCACTCACCCCTTCGGGATGATTTCTTGACACGCAAATTGATCTCAGAAGAATGATCGACAGACTGAATATCCTGCACTTCACCTTGGTCCTCATGCTTGGCTTTGGAATTGGCAAGCTTGTGACGCAGCTTGGCAATGCGCAAAGCAGGCATTTCATCTACAAGGCTTTGTTCATGATCATTCCCAGCGATATCATCCGTGTCTTCTGCTTGAACCTCCTCTTCAATCCCTTGTAGAGCCGAATGTGGTTGCAATCGTCTGCTCGAAACTGCTCCCATTGGTGGTCTCCTTCTCGGTTGACGTGACCAAAGATCATTGTGTGAGGGATCGCTTTCTTGCGCCGTTGCACCGTAATTCATACTTTCATCTCGTCTGTTATAAACGGCGCCACGGCGCACATGGTCATCCGGGATCAGTGACGCAGCTGCTTCTGGATCAGACTCGCAGTGGCAGGGTACCGTCCAAGATCCAACAACGACGCAGAGAAGCATCACAAGGCTGACAAAACGAATGGCACGAATGCATATAAGAAATATAGCCATTATTTTCCCTACTTGTATGGGATAAACAGACGACGTCACCAGAAACAGCTCCAGGACCATATATAGAAGAGAACAACCTCCGAGGGAGACGCTCGGGATTCCCCTTGGCTTCAAATAAACCAGCATTAAGAAAGACCAGAAGATCGCGGAGCCCGAGAGATATACCTAGCATAAGAAAGCCGCGTTAGTCCGGTAGGGTATCACTAGGGATGCAGCCAAAAAAGGTCCTTACAGCGCCTTCGACCCAGGTTACCACAGTTCGCAGGAAAGGAACGATTAGCACACAAGATAATTCCCAAGCCTGGCGGGTCAGCATTCCATAATGAGACTTGGTGAGCTCTGAATGAACTGGGAGACTGCCTTACATAGGTCAAAATGATCCCTCCGATGAGGACTTCAGTGAATACATAAAGAAGCCTACACCTCGTCTCGTTCAGATAGCCTCTGGGGCGCGAGGCGAAGATCCCCGTCTTCGCAGACAGGAAGTAGAACATGCCCGCAGCGAACGGCAGTGAGCAAAGGATCCCCGCAACTGCATGAGGGCTGAGGTCTCCGAGGCGATATATGTTCGAGGAGACCATACTGAAGGGCTGGAGAGCAGACGGAGAGGTTGAATGTGACAAGCGTAGGACACCAGCAGTACTTGCAGCAAAAGCTGATCCGGAAAAACTAATGAGAGCTGATATGGATTGGTGAGGACGAGGAAGAAGGACACGCGAAGTAGTTGTCAGGGACGCCTTCCTTTTTAGTGTGAAAGGTGTGCGCAGCGCACAAGTGACGCTTTCCTAGAGGGGAAAGGGCTATGGGTCAAGAGCCTTCACCATCAAAAGAGTATGGCATCGATGGACATTCCTATGAGCATTCAAATGGCGAGGGACTAAAGAAGTGGCATGATCATTGCAGCAACATCTATTGAATATCATCGCCGTTTAGCTCGTGGTCGGTCGAATGTAGGCTAATCAGCAGCTATGCCGTCTCTCAAGAAATAGTCACGTACATGGGTCCACGACTGATAAGTTGGGGAGAAGGGGGAAACATGGCACGTTCGAAGCTTAAGATGAAGGGACATGACAGGACTTCATGTGAGAAACATGCTCCAACAAGCTCAACCATCATCGAAGCATTCCAGGAGTTAAGAGCTCAGCCAAACCGTTGTTTAGCCAATGTTTTGAGCCATCCAATGGTCTCCTCTTCCTTCTTGCGATATTGTTGAAGTCGCTCTTCCCGTTCCGCTGCTCGAGCTCGGAGTATCTCTTCCCTTCTGATTTCACGCTCATTCTTTTTTCTTTGCTCTTTAGCTTGTGCCTTTTTTATGGCATCTAGATCGTTCTCGCCGGAGCCCATAAGTTCGTCGTCGGATGCTGCATCTACGGGTGAGCCACCTCGCCGTGATTCAGCGAAGGCACGGTTTGCAGCGGCCGCCTCTCGACGCTTCTCCATGCGCCTTTCATGTGTCCCAGGCTCCGCGCGGGGTGCAATCTCATCCTCTATCTGTCGCATCTCAGACTTGTGAGAGCGTGTCTCTGCACGGTGCTGCTTTCTTGCGTCCTGGCGGGCCGCGATGGCATCCTCTACGGCAGACTCTGCCAGACACACAGTGTTAGCCTCGTCATTGATAATGCTAGCGAGATGTGCGCACCTTTTCGTAACTCCAAGTCCTGTATTGTCGGGATTGTTGGTCCAGCGGACGGACCACCTCGATCCCTGGCTGACACCTCATGATGAGGAAGTATGGGACCGTACTCTTCCTCGTCCTCGGAAACGAATTCCCGTTCATTCTGCCTGGCTGTCGCCTCTGCCACGTCGCCAGTGTCGGCATCTTTACCTCGGCCACCTTGTTTATAATCTGGTGAATCATGACGTCGTCCAGGGCCGGATGCTGGGGGATGTTCTGGGGCATTGCGACGGGCTTTCTCGAGTGTGCTAGGGTCATACCACCCTTCGGCGAGTTCTCCACGGTTCCTATAATGTCAATCACTAATTCTGATTTTTCCGGCTATCAAGACGTAGTTCATCGCGTGCTGGCCAACGCAAGCGAACAATTGCACTGGCGGCACATTGCAGAAAATCTGTAGTCGCTCGAGGTAACGGGATCCTTACCATTTTCGAATAAAGCTCTTCCATCTACCCTTGATCTCCTCTTCGCTCAAGTCTTCCATTATTAGTCCCTTCTGGATATCGAGGTACATGGCGAACATGGGTTCGTAATGGATCAGATCCCGTTTCGAAAGCTCTCGTGCTTGGAAGGGAAGCACCACAGGCACCGAAGAGTCTGGCTGCGTATGCCGATCGCGTCGGTCTTGTTCATGACTGTGGTCTCGATGACGGTGATGACTATGACGTGAGCGATGGTGATGATGATGTCTTTTGTGTCTGTCACTTCGGTCTGGCGAGCGCGAGCGCGAATCGTGATCTCGGTGGGATCTGTCCCTATGGCGATGATCGCGGGTAGACATTGTGTGGTGTTTCTTAGGTGGTCACTTTGGTTCGGATCCTTAAAAGGTTGTCAAGGAAAGGGACGATCAATTTATCTGAGATCCGGGCGAACGATCGGAAGAGAAGCGGCCAGAAGCTGCGGGTCACTTGCCAAGCTTTTCTGGGGAAATGGGACAGGATTCTATGAGGATAAAGCCATAAATATCGCCCATGCTTCTTTTTTACTTTCATTTTCTTTTAGGAGTCTTCTATCCCTTCGACATAGAAAGGTCATTTCTTGGAATTTTTCAAAATATAAGCGAGGAGGTATGCAAATAGCTTGTTACCCTTCGTTTCCTCATTGATAATAAGCACGTGGTACTACCTGAGAATCCAGTACTCCTATTGTAAATACATTCAAGAAATAAAGGGCAGTGGCTCTTATTACCATATACATGGATAAATGAAAGAGTGTTCAGATTTTGCCAGCGCATACACAATCTCAGTATAAAATCAATCAGCTGGCTGGAGCGCTCTGTTGCTCCTTATTGTCAGAAGAGCTGTCTCCTGCAGGGGTAGGAGTTGACTGAGTAGTGGTCTTCGACCGGTTGGCAGCGGCCATCTGCCAAGCAGGAATGGAGGCGCCTCTGCCAAATTGCGCAAGAGGGCTACTAGCCGCGGCGCCGGCGGTCGTGCCGGCGCCTGGCTGTGCTGGAGAGGGCTGCGATTCTTGTGTAGTAGGAGTTGCTGTAACGCCGTTGGTAGTAGCGGGAGTGGTAGCCGGCGACGCCTCCTGCGCGGGTCGAGCGACGCTGGGCAGAGATGATGCGCTGATAGTCCTTCCGGCAACAGGGGCGCTGGATGCGCCGCTGCCACTGAGCCTGTTACCAAGCAAAGTCTTCAAGCTCTTCAATTCAGCGCCAAGTTCCTTCAACCGGGTTTCATTTCCTTCCCGAGCGCCCTCAAGAGCCTTGGGGATGGCGTCCTTCAATGATTTAACTTCATCGCTGATGCGGCGGGTTTCGTCATCCCGTCGGCGAGAAGCGGTCTTCAGATCGGCCACCAAGGTTTCAACTTCCCGAAGCGCTGTGTCCAGCCGCTCTGTGCGCGCTTCTTCAGCTGACTTCAATGCCGCAGTATCTGTGGAAAGTTGCTCAATCAGAGCAAAAGCGCGAGAAAACTGTTCATCGATGTGCTCCTTGTCTTGTTCCAATTGGGGTGGTGTAGGAGGGGCGATTAATGGCGCAATGTATCGCTTGAGAATCATTTGTTACCATCATCGCAAAAGAAGAAAAGTCGAGCGGACTGCGGAATCGATATACTAACCTTTGTGACGGTGTATAACCCATATCCCACACCTCCGACTACTGTAGCCATGATAAACCAATCCCGCCAGTCCCTCTTGGGAGGTCTACCAATTAACAAATCAGCTTTCAGGCTTTATATCTAAATACCACGGGTTGAGGGGTAATGCTCTTACTCTGGAGGGGCCTGCCATTGGCCATAGGGAGGGTAGCCATACCCTGGTGGTGGTGGAGGGGGAGGACGGTAGACAGCGTGTTGAGTAGAAGGTTGATAGCCTTGCGTCGAGGCGACAGCAGAAGCAGCAGCGGACGGGTCTTCACCGGTGCGGGATAAAGCGAGATTGATCTCTTCCTGTGTAAGGTTCTTTGACTGAAGAAATGCGACTCTCTTCTCAATGGGCGATGAAGCCACAGAAGGATCCTGTAGAACTGTTTAGGTGTTAGGCTTCACGTCCACATTCAAGTTGGAATGGTTTCGAGGTAGAGCACACGCACATGAAACCTATTCAAGAACAACGGTCAGCTCCGACTCCGATAACAGCATCAAACACTCGGGCACGGTACATACAGCAGAGGAGACAAGCTCCTCGCGAGGAGCCATGATGATAGTCTAAACAACAGCTTCAATCAAGATAGCCGTCCTCAAAATATTTTAGAGGTAGAAAGGTCGTGAAGAGAAGTCAGTTGAAGAATTGGAGAAGACGGATGGGGAAATTAATGCTCATGGCGACAGATGCTCATCGGCACCGGATGAGGCCTGTTCACCTGGACCTCGGAACTTGCGCTGCTTACGGTAATTACCGCCAATGATACAACCACTGGCGGAGTTTCCCCAGATCTCGTGATCTTGTGATCTCGTGATTATAGCCGCAGGAAGAACTGTTGTTCCGAAGTAACTCACCGCCTGCTGGATTGAGCGACATAATGGCATGTGCTTGTTTACATCTTTCGGTCGCTGTTTTGCACCTCATTGGCAACGCATCAAATCCCGTCCTTATCATTTTATGTGAGGGGAAATCGACTGTGTCATATTTCCGCGCATCCACAACTTATTTTTTTTTGGCTTTTTTGTATCCTTGGACCCTCAACCATTTTGTGGACATATCTCATTCGAACGTTCGCTTTAATCACGAGTTCATTGCCGCAGTCGCGGCTTCCATTTATCATGTCGCAGGATACGGGATTGTTCAGTATCAGGCGCCCCCGAGAAGTATGAGCGTCATGCCTCTCCCTTGATATCCTTGATACATCGTATCATTCAATGCGCGGTGACTGACTGCGACTAACATAATCCTGGATACAGACTTTGGGGAGCGTTCAGAACTATTCGGCCCTACCGCAACCCTCATCGGCCCTAAAGCGCACCAGCTCCATTGGGTATCAGAATCCTCCTTTTACCTCACAACACACGCGCTCTATGTCACTACTAAACTCTGCAAGTCGCCCTCAGCAACCGAATTTCCAGCGCTCTTCATCCGGCGGGGCGTTTGGTGCCGATGCTGGGCTTTCGTCGGTCAGGCGATCTGTATCGAGCAACATCTTTCATGGCGCCAGTGTTGGTCGCCCAAGCTATGCGTCGGGCTCACTATCCGCCAGCTCTGCATCGCAGAGTCTACAAAGGAGAAGCAGCGTCTTTTCGCGACCGTCAATGGGAGGGCCAATGGGACATCAGTCTTTTTTCACCCAAGTGCCCAGTGCTGCCGGTGTTCCTCGAGATCCACGACCTCTCAGGGATAGGTCCTTCCAGGCTAGAATTGGACAGGAGCTCCTCGAATACCTGACCCACAATAACTTTGAGCTGGAGATGAAACATTCGCTGGGTCAGAACACACTCCGATCGCCAACCCAGAAGGACTTCAACTACATTTTTCAGTTTCTGTATCATCGCATCGATCCGGGGTATCGGTTCCAGAAGAGCATGGATGCAGAGGTTCCGCCAATTTTGAAGCAACTGCGCTACCCATTCGAGAAGGGTATCACCAAATCGCAAATCGCTGCAGTCGGAGGCCAGAATTGGCCTACTTTCTTGGGCATGCTGCATTGGTTGATGCAATTAGCGCAGATGATGGATCGGTTCGTGCTTGGGGAGTACGATGAGGCCTGTGCGGAGATGGGTGTGGACGTGTCGGGGGACCGCATTATCTTCCGTTTTTTGACCGGGGCGTACCACGACTGGCTGCAGGGTGGTGAAGATGAGGATGATGAGACTGCTGAGAAACGTCTTGTGCCCCATATTGAAGCAATGGCTCAGGAGTTTGAGAAGGGGAACGAGAAGTACGTGCAGGAAATGCAAGTTTTGGAAGCGGAGAACCGGGCGCTACGCGATCAGATTGACGAGTTGGAGAAGAATGCCCCCGACATGGCTAAATTGGATAAGCATTTCAGAATTTTGGAGGACGACAAGCGGAAGTTTGAGGACTACAACCAAAATGTTCAGGGCAAGATCGAGAAGTACGAAAATCGCATCAAGTTCTTGGACGAGGAGATCCAGAAGGTCGAGGCGGAGCTTCAGGCAGCCGAAGAAGAGCGATCCAGCCTTCAGTCCAGCGTTGATCAACAAGGGCTTACTATTCAGGATATTGATCGCATGAACACTGAGCGGGATCGACTGCAGAAAAGTCTCGAAGATACTACGGCCCGGTTGGAAGAGACGCATGCCAGGGTCATGGAAAAGGAAGCCGAAGCTAGTAGGAAACTTGAAGATCTGGAGGAAATCGTTAAAGTTTATAATACACTCGGCTATCAGACTAGTCTGATTCCTTCCACTGCCGTCAATGCCAAGGGTCAGGATTACGAACTCAGTCTGAACATCAACGAGAATAGCTTCTCCGCGTCGCAGATTGGTGGTCTGCCGAACCGGATTTCTTCCGAGGCAGACCGGCTGCTAGCGGAGCCTTTTACGGGCTATCACCCGGCGCATCTGCTCAGCTTGGATCTTCGGGGTATGGTGCGCAGTAGCTTGCAGGCTCTTCGGAAGGAGATCAATGAGCGCCGAAAACGGGCGATTGATGATGACTTGGAGCGTCGCAATTTGCTAGACAATATCAAGGAAGCGATGGATGAGAAACGGAGCGAGGTTGAAGCTCTGGAGCATAAGCGGCGGGCTGCTGAGGAGGAGTTTGAGCGATTGAAGGAGATCACTACCACTCAGAAGCTTGCCTCCGACGCCCAAATTGAGAAGATGGAAAAGGAATTGGCCAAGATGCGAGCAACTTTGAGCGAAAGTGTGCAGTTGATGGAACAGCGGGAAATGAACACCAACATCGAGTACGAACAGCTCACACTTCGGGCTAATGCGTTACGAGAGGAACTTCATACCAATGTGGAAAGCATGTTGAACGACGTAATTCGATTCAAGGTGCACGTTCAGAAGGGTCTAGAGGACTATGAAAGCTTCGTCGTCGATGAGGTGGAGCAGGAGCTTGGAGGTGACATGCCTATGACAGAGGATGTCACTAGTCAATTTGAGGAAATCTGAGTTGCGAGAACGCTGACGATTCTGCTATAATCATGATTGACCATTGTTCTTGCGGAAATTCATCCTATGTCTTGTATTGTTGACAGTTGCCGTTACTCAGTTTCGGCTCACTCGAAGCCGAGGATGATCATCGCCAAAAACATCAGCGAAAGCGCGTATGTGTTCTCGGACTCATCAAATTTTTTTTTCGTTTGTGGCGTTGTTGGACAGGTGATATGGGTTCTTGTGGGTTGACATGTTCTATATCTGAATTGTTCGGATGCTCTTGATATTGACGATTGATACCTCTTTCTACATAACTTGTTGAGATGTTCGTTCTGTTCGTGATATCACTAGGCGAAGGTGTATATACACATTCCATACACGTTACCTCAAGTTCTCTTTCTTCCTGCTCAGTTTGTAACTCCAGTGTCTGCCTAGACAATGGACATACTCAGGCCGATCATCAAGGGCTCCTTTTCCCAATCGCGAGAAGTCCTTCGCTTCAAGGGTTGCTTGCCGATTGCCACCAGGCTTCAACTACTACCTTGCGTTCGTCATCATTGATAGCCAACCTGTGACCTGATGGTTCATATCATATCCTTCTCACTTCTGCTCAAATGTCCTGTCAGTATCTGTCCTTTGTTGATTCGCTTATCTCCAGCGATTATTGACAGGAAGGGGACGCGCACGCTTACGAGACTCGTATTTCCCACACACGGCGAGACAACAAGCCGACCAGTCGTAGCCAAAAGCAGGATATGACCGCGTCAGGAATCTCTTTTTCCCAGTCTCGTGTAGATTACACAGCGAGCAACCAACAATTTACTCATGGGGCCGGGTAGGGCTCGCAGCTGGCTGCGTATTCGTCAACCCGCCAGCAGCGAGTCACTATGCCCGCTTTTCATTGAGAGCGGCGGTAGTATTCCTTGTATAACATCTGCCTTAAGAGTGATTGGCATGTCTCATTGAAGCGTTGGGGGCCGATGGCTGTGCTCATCCGAAGTGCTGCGTACAGCTGCCGTGTTAGTCCTTGCCTTTTGGGATGAACGACCAATTGGCATCATATTGAGAGATAACGCTATATTGAGGATCTGCTCGTATCTTTGATAATCTGGGTTGATCCCGCGAGCTTCTAAATAAATCTGCGGCGCGGCTGTTGGATCTGCCTTTGGCCCTCTCGGCCCCCAGCGATTGGAGATAATGCTATCAACATTTCGGGTAAGAGAATGGCGAGGAACTTCATGGGCGCAAAATGATAAATGAGGACGTGGAGGAGCGGAGGTCATTGTCTAAGGTATATATACCACTGGAGACTCCAACTGAATCCAATTCCAAGCTCCAACCAGTGCTGTGCACAGGAAGATCGCGCCCAAAAATCTTATCGGTCAATAGACCTTGAGCAAGAAGTCTAGCTTGTGCTACTGAGCCACCATGAAAGCTTTCGCAATCGTTCTCAGCGCCATTGTGGCTCTCTGTGTCAACCCAGCTCTAGCTCGTGTACCTGGAAGGCCTTCTACTCCCGTTTCTTCCTCCTATACGGTAAGTCCAAATGTGAACAATCCTCCAGCCTGACTCCCAACTGATGTAGCTGCCATGAAGCCTTCGGGAACGCCGTCTTCGAGTTCTTGCATCCCATCAGCCACACCATCCATGACTCCGTCCACGACTCTATGGCCGTCGAGAGACCCTAGGCCCACAGGAGCTTTTCCCTGGCACTCTTCCACTTTCAGCCATTATCCAAGCGTAAGCTGCACACCGAGTGGAAGGCCTCCGCTCCGAGGACCTCACGGTGGTGGTCCTGAATGGGCCCCCGATCACCGACAGCCGCCTGCTGAGGAATTTGAAGACTTCCGTCCAAGGAAGTTCAAGCGCCTGTGAACTCTTGGGGAGAATCCAATAGAGTTGAAGAATTTGTGTCGCTTGAAGGCATCCGTTTGTTATATAAGTAGACCGTTAGTCCTATTGTTGATTTTGGGGGAAGTGATGTATGGTTCGGCTGCTGGATCAGTCATTCGTTATCAATTCTGCAGTTATCAGGCGTTGATGTATCTGAGATATTACATGACCATCAAAAGACATCCGAATAGAACAGAGCTCGTTTCCATGTCTCAGCTACAAGGGTAGAATCGAATTGAACACAGTCGGATGGTTCGTGGACAGCTTTATCTGATAGTACAAACAGCCGAGCTGTGGTTGGCTGAGGATTGATGACTAAAGCTACCGGCGATACTTTTTCGTTGCCGCCGACAAGCAAATCCCTCTGAAGATTAGAGAAAAATCTACAGCTCCCACCTTCACACAATTGTGGCCCACAGGACTTATTTATGGTGTCGTTCGGAAATGTGGAATCGGCTAAACGATTAGATATGCGCTGCAGACGTCTCTCGGACGGTCATATCGATTTTTGGATCCCCCTTCCGCAGGCCTCGTCCGCAACGTCCTCCGCCGTGTCATGAAAAAGTGCCTGGGTCCAGCTCGTCTGCCGTGTCTGGGCCGCAGGTTCTCCTCGTCCCATTCTCCGTTCGCTTGGTACGGTCGTTCATTCAGCTCTTCGCTTCGACTGAGTCTCCCGAGCTGTAGAATCTACCCAGGTAGGCGACAATGGAGTCGCCCGTTCTCCGCGAGGTCTGCGGCTATCGTCGACCGCCAGCTGCTGCGAGACTATGTTCGATTTGAGAGGAAGAGATGCCCAGTGTCGGGGCCAAAATCGAGACAGGAGGACCCCAATTCTTGGATTCCTCTACTAGAACATTACCTGCCGCCATCCCTGCGGAAAATCCCCGAGGAAGCCGCCGTGACGGATGCCGAGTTCGACGACGCAACAACCATAGGCCGGGAGTCCCTTGCGCAGACTATCGAGCTAGCCAATTTGCTCTTCTACGCTCGGACTGAGGGGAACATCGATCTACTGGCGTACTTGGGTTTTCGGTTGAACAATTGGCCTGCGGTGAATGTTCTTCTGACTCGGCTATTGGACGCTGCGGACACACTTGACAAGTATTCGATACCCCGCAGGCCTCTATCCAGCCATGACTGGGGCTCTGGCGCTGGTGTCTCGCTTGATGAGCTTACCGGTCAGCATGCCGAGAGGGCCCCCGAGCTCGTTCACCTTACCAAGTCGCCAGCGGCGTCGGACCTCACAAGCTTCGACTCGTGGACAGAGCGCCCATTTGCTGACGAACACGCTAAGCGCTTCATGGCGGAAGTCTGGCAAAGCTTGGGATCGATTGTGCTCGCTGCCGCCGATGCGTCCCCGAACGAGTCCAAGCTGGCAATGTCCTACGTCTTTCGTATCCTTGCTCGTCTACACCATTCTGGCGCAGTGTCTGACCGGGTGTACAAATACGATCCTCCGAGTGTGCATCGGGTGAACTTTCGGCCACCGGGAATGCACCTTCTGTCAACGCACATCATGAGCGCGTTAACGGATGCGGCTTGGTTGGCACATGAGGCAGAAGTTGCAGCAAAGGCTGCTGCCGCGGGCAAGGAGTCGCCCTACCTCCCTTTCAATTTAGGTATACGGGAACTTGGACACGAGATTTGGTTAGAGCTAATTCTTTGGTCTTGTGTGGAACATGGGTATATCCAGGAAGGAGTGTGGCTTATAGAACGAATGAGATCACAGACCGATTATCAAGCTTGGGGCTTTGAGAGCTGGAAGCCTCTCATTGAATCTTCCAGGTCGGTTTGGAAGACCAACGTGGACGCAGAAGTGTCTTGGCGTCGTCCCGAAGACATTGACCGTCAGTGGTTGTCACGGAGACACGACGGTCTTGCTCCCTTCAACGGGCTAGGAAAGCGAACGGTCAGCGCCGAAGTCGCCGCAGCGCTTTTAGATAGCCTTCCCAACCTCGTCTATCTGGGCCTCGGCTGGCGCGGTTTATCGCCAAGTGCGCTTCTTCGTCATGTATCAATGCTCAAGCCCGCCATTGTCTCGCCCACGGCTGATGCGAAGTTGCTACCGACGGCCAAACCAACCAACTGGTTCGTCGTTCGTGCCATCGAGTCTGGAGGCTTCAATGCCGAAAATGACCCTCGAGCCTTTGAGGCACTGCTCAAAGTTACTCCCCATGTTGTTCCGCCATGGAGTAACAATACCTCTCCTATGGAAGAAAGCATGGAATCATTGACATCGGGGCAGCTGTACGACGATACATCTGCATTCGCTGGTCTTATGGAGTACAATATAAGGTTCTTTGCCTCGAGACGCTTGTGTACAGATGCATTAGACGCCTTCTCCTGGCTTCAGGAAGTGGTGGACGCGAGCAAGTTGCGGCGAATCCGCGAGTTCTCTGAGCGAGTGGGCCAGTCGGATAATGCTGCTCTACCGTCATTTGACCTTGACAGCCTGGAATCTTTCAAACCATTTGAATCGTCCATGCCGCAGATGTCGATCGTTACAGTAGCTGAATTGCTGGACTTGGTCACGACATCGCGGGCGTTTGCATTCGGGGACTGGTTGTTCTTTTCGAACGACATTGACGGTCCTCCCATTCCTCCAAGTGCGTACGGGAACCAAGCCCTCGCGCCGTCGATCATCCGATTCGCAACCGCCACTAAGAACGAAGCACTGTATAATTCAGTCGTGCGTTCCCTCTCCCAGCCCCTCTCCCTGAACACCATGCGGGCGTTGTTGAATTTCCGGATCGCCATGGGACAGTGGGATTCCGCGATTATGATGCTGGAATACATCCGCGACTACCGATTGAAGTCATGGGGATGCAGCAACGTCACGGCGCTGGCTGCAGCAATCGTGCGAATGGACCACGCCATCAAGCAGCAACCCTCCACGGACCAGCAAAGCGACCTGGACCGCGCAAAGGACATTCTCCTCCGACTCCTTAACGGCGAATTCAACGAATCCCACCACTCCAAATCCAGCTTCCAAGACAGACTCATCCACAGCATACACCGCGTCTTCCTGACCATCCCAGGCTCCCTCCGCGAGGTCGCCCAAAAGACCCACCTCAAGTACAAAGCCACACCGCGCAGCAATCACCCCTACATCCCCGCCACGGCCTTCCACGCGCTCCTCTCCGCCGTCGTAGACACCCAGGGCAGCGTGGCCGGCAAATGCCTCTGGGAACAGTGGTGCCTGGACGTCCGCTCCCCGACCTTCTCCCGCCTCCAGGAAGGCGGCATCGCCCGCCTGTACCTCCACCGCGAGCGCGACCCGCGCAAGGGCGACCCGCACTTCGACCCACGGTACTTCGCGCAGACGCAGAAGAAGGCCGTCCTGCCGAACCCCAACACCATCCGCATCATCGCGCAGCAGGCGGTGAAGGAGTACACCGAGTTCGACGAGGCTCGCCGACGTCAACAACCCGGACAGCTCGAACAGCAAGACTCGAAGCCCCCTACGTCCGGCCAGGGGCCCACGAACCCCGCCCTTGAAGCTGTGGAATTCTGTATTCGGCAGTTCCAGGCTTTCCGGGTGCCGTGGAGGGAGATCAATAGGGAACTCGGGGGGGTCGTGTATCGCATGCACAGGGAGAAGAAGAAGGAGCGAAAGAAGATGGGAAGAGAGGGCGCTGACACTCTCAACAAGTAATATCCATTGTACCATATCATTTTATCACATGTAATCATTCGACTACAGCGTCTACATAGACCCCCTTTCTCTCATGTACATATATATATGCCTACAGAAGTACAATAATTACCAAAAAGCATCCTGTCATCTTTGCGAGTTTCGAATTGGCTACATCCCCAGAAATGTATCTGATATGATTCAATTGCACTCTGTAGGCCATACACGTGACCAAGTCTCGAAGTCATGGAATCAGTCTGTCCACACTACCTACGAGTCATGACACATTGAGAAGGCATCATCAAGACGAGCCTAGCTTAGACATCAAGGTGAAACCACTGAAACTCCAGTCCGTCCATCGCCGCATCTACCAAGTGCCGACCCGTACTCGCCCAATCATGACTTCTATTCGCAATTTGGCTGCGTCCCCCACAAAATCAACGCCATAGCTGTACTCCCAAAGTAAATCGAATCGTACGCAGAAACGGAAAACAATGCCTCTGGCATAGGTATAGGCAGTATGAGGATACTCGTTAGGTCAAGTGACGATTAACTCGCAATAGAACATGAAGACAAGCTAGTGGACGGTGATAGGTTGAGGGAAAGGAAAAGAGAAGAAAGGGATAAGAAAAGAGTAGACGTCCAATACATTGCACGTTTCGTCATTGCGTCCATGGTTCCTCATCGGCGGCCGCCGGGAAGAACGATCGGATGAATTCCCCGCTGATCGGGTCATAGGGGAAAAAGGCATCGCCTCCAGGAGGATTGCTGCTGGCCGAGGACAGCAAATCAAGGTTGGGAATCATTTGTGAATGCGAAACCGTAGATGGAGGCTGATTCTGGTAATATTGGTAGGTTCCCTGCGACCGGTCGGCGGCATTGAGATTTAGAAGACTGTCGTCCGTTGCATTGTAAAACATGGGTGTGGATGTCATATTGGTGTTTGGTTGATTGGGGCAATGGGGTTGCATGCTCATGGGTTGGTCTGGTCTGGTCTCGTAGACGGAATTGGGCATGTCGCTGACGTCGTAATTCATGCCGTAAGCTATCCGCCGGAGATTGCTATCACACAGCTGCCATGCACGTCGTGATGCTGCGCTGCACTCGGACATCGCATAGAGCCAGCGAACGGCCTTCTTGGAGACCGCCAGGAAATTCTGCTCCTCCTCGGGCATATGGATGCTGCCGAAGGATAACTCGAGTAGAAGGACAGTCGCTGCCTGCATCAAGTAGTGCAATATGCACCACCAGGGACAGATATGATAGAGCCGAATGGCGTTGGGCTCATCGGGTAGCAATTCGAGCATCCGACGCGCAGACTCAAGCGATAGCTCAGCCATTTTGTGACTAAAAGTCGGCTGTTTGCTCGGATCTCTCGGGCGTGCGTCACGGCGGCACAGACATGGCCGTCCGAGAGTAATTCGAGCACTGTAGAAGTGAAACGCGAGGAAGAGTTTCAAACGAAGCACCTCTTGATCCTGGTCGTCCGTCTTGCGGACAAAGTCAAACACCTCGGGAAGATTGTGATACCAGCGATCGATTCTCGCTCGAAGCTCCCCGATACGATTCTCAATGTGGGCCCACGGTGTGTTGACGCAATCTGGCGAGTAGACCCTATTGACAATCTCCTGACTGATGACTGCCAGGTCGGTATAGAATAAATAGCACAAAGCCTGGCTCGCAGGCTGACTCTTTAACCATCTGGCGTCCCGTGGCTTGTCCGTGAGTTGGGCATCTCTGCCACCCGGTGGATTCAAGGGCATTTGGCGAACATAAGAACTTGCCATTGCTGATCCCACATACGCCTCTCGCAATTCTTGATCCGCCAAAAGTTTGGCTGCGAACGGCTCGCGTAGCTGCCCCTCATCGAAGGGCAGGGGCATTGGCGTCGTACAGACGCCATCTAGGATACATGTTGACCTGCCCGTCATGATTCCAAGCATATGTTCGAACGTATACAGACACCACCAGACCTTATAACGTGCTTCTTTGGATATACTGGGCGTGGTCTCGCTGGAGTTCTTCATATTGATACCGAGCGCAATACCAGATCGAACAGCCAAAGATGCAATCCTCCACGCTCTAAAAGGGGTCAGTCACCACAAGAAAGCTAGAACTGGGTGCTAGGCGTGCTCACCGGTTGATCTGATCTGATGCAAGAAGATAAAACGCAATCAAACCTTCAACCTGTACCTGCTGCAGGTCAGGATGGTTGAAAAGCGTATCACCATTCATGCTGAGGATGCGAGCCCGTGTCAGATACACAAGATGATCACGTTCGTCTCCGCGCCACGGCGCCTGTGTAAGATGGGCATGCTTGGATGCAATAGCGAAAATCATGTTCAAAATGGCCAACCATTTGTCACCAGGCCGCGCTGCGCTCTCGAAAAAGGTCCTGTACTGTGCGCTAAACAGCGTGCGACTGATGATGGGAAAGAATGGGTGAACCGTAGTCAAGTAGTCTTCGAAAAGTTGGTCCGCCACATGGCGCGGCGGCATCCAGTACACTTGTACCGGGCCCGGGACGGTGATATCCATGTCATCCAGGTGATAGTTCACTGCGTGCAGAGCAAACTCACCCTCAGGCTTCGTTTCCGATGCCCCTGACTGTTTCTGAACGCGTTGCTCAGCCTCCCGTCGTAACCTTTGCATCCAGGTGAGCTCCGAATTCTTGCCCATGTACCCTGTAGCCCTCGAGCTCTCAGTCCGATTCAAATCTTCTTCCACCCTATCAATGGCGTCCAGCGATCCAATCGACGAAGGGGACGATGGCGGTTCATCCTGCTCCATTTCTTCATCTTGGGGCGTGACCGAAGACTGCGGATCATTCGAGGAACTTTCATGGCTATTGGTGTTCTCCACGGCATACTAATTGAGAGTCAGGTAATCAGTAGGGGCAAGCGCGGTACAAGGGAAGAATCCTTGAGGGAAAACGCAGCAGGCTCTTACCTTGTCGAGCATGCTCTTGATGCGCTCCGAAGTTCGAGTATCCACCACGCTCCCAATCTCTCGCAAGAG